CATCCTCTCCCCCATYAGCAAAAAGACCATCTTTAGAAAAACAACTCCTTAGGTTGATGTAGATAATTTAGCAGTGAATAAATAAACAAAGATGGTATAAGAAATGACGATGTGTTCTAATGCAGGTTTAAGAAATTTTTTTACACTTTCTTTTCTGCTTTGAGTCCAAAGAACAACAATAAAAGCTGTGGGAGCAAATCCTACATTCTTATCCTTTGCCACTTCCAGGCCTGTGATAGCTCACGGATGTAGCAGCCATGCAGCTGCAATGCCAGCACAGCCATGATGTTTTACCAGCTTCATTCATCTCCTAGCTGCATTTATGAGTATTGGAAAACACTCAGTTCTGATTTAAGAGATTTTTGCAAAGAAGGCAAGAAAGGGTACATAGGTTGTCTTGCAAGAGCTAGGAAATACAGGGACCAAAATGTTCCCAGGTGAAGGCTTATTCCCAGCACACACAGAAGGAATTTTGTCCAGCCCAGTAAACATTAAGCATGGTAAACACTTAGAAAAGCTCACAAAAGGCAGGATATGCAGAGCCATCCCTCAAAAGAAAAAACAGCTTCCTTCATTCACTGCTGCACTGTTGATGAGCTCCTTTGTGCTCTTTGCTCATTCCGCATTGGGAAGATGCCCCAACCTCATTCCGCATTGGGAAGATGCCCCAACCGAGGTTAGCCCTGAGCAAGCTCATGTATCTCATAGCATGTGGGTGACCCACACCAGCCAGCCCTTGTATTCCCTCAACCAGTGTCAGTCTCAGACCTTACCCTCACCAAGGGCTAGAGGTATTATCTTGTTCCCAAAACACACAAGGGCAAAAATCCCTGTCTTGTCCTCTCTTCTTCTCTGCCTTCGTTCCATACAAGATAAGGACCTTTCCCTTACTTTGGCTAGTGAGGCTAGGGAATAGCCCTACCGTGATCTTCAATAAACTACCTTTCAGGAAGCAAAATCACGTAACAGTTCTGAAATCTGAAGAGAAGTGAACAAGTTGACTTTTGGACAAGAGAAAGAAATTCACCTTTGAACCGTTTGTTATCTCACGAAGCCGTGGTACAATGCTGGAGATCCCAAAGCACTCAAACTTTGGAGTTTGTGAGCAGCAAAGAAAGTGTCTCTTTAGAGATGGAGGAAAGGAGTAGCTAGAGAGTTACCGGCCGGTGAGCCTAGCCCGCACACCTGAGGAAGCCATGGAAAATATGTGTGAGGAACCAGTGGGCAGTAAGGATTTTTCGAGAACCAATTGTTTCAGAAAGACCTACTTTCATTTCCTAGCAGAGCAAATAGCCCAATGAACAGACAATTTCGTAAATAATTGATTTTTTCTTTTTTGTTAAATAAAATGCCTGCAATCACTTCCTAATATTTTTTTAATTAAAGGTTAAGACACTTGACTTGCCTCCAAACATCCTGCTTCACATTCCTCTCCATAGTGGGTAAACAGGAAATCTTGCATAATTGTCAGTCAGTACAGAAGGTTGGCAGAGACATGGTGCCAGAGGATATTTAACACCCCTGCTCTTAAGAACTTCCAGCAGCTTAATTACATCTGGAATTATGACTAGGGAAAAAAAAACAACACCCTGGATATTGGGCAAACATTAGAATGAGCTGAATGTTTTATTTCTCAATCAAGCTGGCTTTGTGCAGCTGTGTGGACTCACCTGTCTTCCAGGGCAGGGTAGGAGTGAAGCAGAGTAATGGGCCAGGAGTCTTTATCCTATTTTACCAGTTATCAGGTCAAGTAGCACTGGAGCACAGTGCTTGCTGATGACCTAAATTAATCACCCAGAACACAAATTGGAAATGTGTCCAAAGCAAGTTTTACAGAGGACTTAAGGAAATTACATTCAAATACATACTCTGGAAAATCCTGTTATGTGATTAGGCATCTTTACTAATGCCTAGGCAATTAGATTTCCTTCTTGGCTCCTTGGACCTCAATTTTCTTTCCTGGACTTCTCAACCAGAGGGGACAAATATACCACCTATCTTCACCATGTCACATTCCCCTCCAAAAGGGGTAGGATGTTGTCCTGGGTGGAGAGGTTTGAACTGATCAGAGCCCAGAACATAAGCCCTGTTTGTCAGTGAGCTAGCAGGGTACCTGGCAAGGAAGTTGAGCATTATGCGTATTTTAAAAAAGAAAAAAGCAACACATAAAGAACAAATTGTTTAAAAAACATATGCTTTCCTGGCAGGGCAAATGGCCTCATCTATAGTCAAAATTGTAAATACTTGGGTATTTTTTATTAAATAAAATGCCTGCTCTTCCTACTTTCTATATTACTATTATTATTATTATTATTATTATTATTACTATTTTAATTAAAGATTAGAACACTTGACTTGCCTCCAAACATTCTGCCTATTCTTGTCTATCAATCAGGAGGACCCTTGTGACAGGCTTTTGAAGCCTTCCTGAAGTTAAGTAGATCTACTAAGATTTATGCCTTTCGATGGGACAGAGCTGCCTTAGCTTGGGCCAGAAAAAATTCAGCATTTTGATGGATCCTGCACACTTAAATAGCCTTAAAAATATACTTGTCAACATGTTTTCTGAGCCTCTGAGGTACAACCAGATCCTGCTCACAGGGAAATGAACTGGAAGTCAGTGAGTTGTGGGAGTTACAGGGAGTCTTGTTTGGCTATGAGCTTGCACAAAGCCACCTGAAATCAGGGAGCATCAAGAGGCCCCACCGTGGCACTGTCTGTTTTTATACAGCTCCATCCACCAGCATTATCCAAAGTGCATTTCTCCTGCTCGCTTGCAGGATGCTATTTCTGCCTTGCAGTGCCAATACTTCCCATGCAATGACTGATGAAATGGATGCATGTGGTGACATTCAGATGTCACCATGTTTCTGCGGCATTCATGGGAAATGAAAGTGTTGTGAAATGACGTAACAAAATAAAAAATAATATTTTTTTTTTAAAAGGACATTCTAAAATGCTCTTTGGCAACACAGCTACATGTTTTTCCAGTGATCAGCTCACAGACACATTAGTGCTGCCAGAACTAAGGAGTGTTCATCTCTAGGAGTGCACAGGGAGAAAAACTTGACAGCCTGTTACCAGGAGTGGCTGTAACATGACATTTGGGAAGAGAAGTAGAATAAGAAATAACACCAAATTGCTAATTCCATGTTATTGATCCAGGCCACGCCATGAYTGTCTTCGTAAATGGCATGGACTGCACCTCATTCTTTGTTCACTCCTCTGTCAGACCACAAAGTAGAAACAGAGGCAAAAAACTTCACTTTCATCACTTACCTGCTCAATCTCAGCAGGGTCTGGGTCACTGTAGGTATGGTCAGGCCTTTAAAAAATAGCCGATATTCAGGAGTGCCCTCAACATGCCCATGGCTCCTGGCAGATGCTGGTAGAATAGGAATCAATACCATGGAAAAAAAAATAATATCTGGCAAATATGGACTGGTCAGGAAGAAATTTTCAGTCTGATACCCAAGGCTCTTGATGCCACCTTTCCCACTCTACCACCTCACATCCTCGGACAGGATGAATACAGATAGATTTACTTAAGAAAAGGACTCCAAAATCCTCCTCTGCCTATATTCAGATTTAATTTTTAAATACATACTTAATTAGTTTAACTCACAAACTACCTGTAATACTACCTCTGTTTGATAAACTAACTTTTAAATGCAAAATTTGTTTTTCCTTTATGTATTTATCACATTTATTAGTTTTTATTTCGTTTTCAACACTTTCAAATACTGCATTTTTCTGCMTTTTTGTAGTGGATTCGAATTTCCATCTAAGGAGCAAGGTTAGAATGAACATCTTTAGAGAGAATTCTGACASAAGTCTTAGCTTTAGTGCATGCAATAGTATGAGTAAAACTCTCTACAATTTGGGCAAAGAGAAAAAATCAAGAGGCCACCTTCTCAAAGAGGAAAGATAAAGTGAGGGTAATACAACAAGAAACCTGAGAAGTTATGTGCAGCGCCAAGTGCAGGGATAAGGACTTTAAACTTGATACTGAGCAATATGGATCGCAAAGAGAGGAAAGTGGATGATCGACWGAAAAATTAGATTGCTCTGACTAGGCAGAGAAACTTAGGGAGAAGAGCACAGAAGAGACAGGTAGCAAAAAGAAAGTCTAGAGGAGAAAGAGAAAAAGAGAGAAAAGAGGAAAAGACTTAACAAGAGAGGAGAAGAGAGGCCACATCTGCAATAAGAAGGTATGAAAATGAACGGGAAGTACATGTATCTGTGTGCAAATACATCCCCAGACATGGTAGGAAGTAGGAAGGTAGTAGGAAGAATACATGGAGCATCAGGTTTCAGTATCAAATGTGATCCTGGTAGTTCACAGGCTGTGACCTGACAGTGTGTGCTCATTCAGGATTTTCTCAGTAATATCTGATGTAAAACAAACAAACAAAACTGTAAACATATTTTAAATACGGTTGCATAATTTATTTTCAACTGCATAAACAGTGTCCTAAAGACAAGGCAGAAGAATTCAGGACAAAGCAAATAGAAACAGGCTAGAAAGGATCTAAAAAATTAAGCCTGTATGTTATAAAAAAAAGTCTAATCCACAGCAAAAGAGCAATCTAGTCTAAGTCATCACTCTGAAATTGTTTATTAAAATCTCACATACTGTTGCTGCTACATCACTGCATGATAAAAAGACAAACCAAGAGTCAAATTCTGCTTTTGGAACCACAGAGATATGATAATGCAGAGCTGCTCATCAGTACAACAAACTCAGAGGGAGTTTGAAGAGGTTTGTGTTAATTCACAACAGATGTCAAGAGGTAACACAGAAAAGCTTCACCTCTCTAGCCCATTGCATCGTGCCACAGACTACAAGAAGAAACATCTCCAGTTCCAAACAAATGGGTTCTCAGACGTGGGTTTAGAAATCCTCATACAGGTAAATCCTGTAATTCATTGGACTCTTCCTCGTCTGAATTACTCCAACAAGACACAAGCATTTCTTGTTTGTTATTTAGTGTTTATATTCAAGCAGCATAGAAATTCTGTGGAATCCCTTTCACACCCAGGCCTGTTATCTGTTTAAAGAACAAAAGAAATATTAAAAAAAGAAAGATGATAAATTTCTGACCAACTGAAATGAAAACATCCAAGTGTTGCACAACAAATATCAAGACAACTGATTCCTCCATTTCCTTCAAGGAAAATCTGCAGAGAGTCATCACCTGGCATCCTTCAGAGCAAAAAAAAAGTGTACTCAGATGTGGCAAAACGTGGCAGATGTGGTAGTGATTCCCAAAAACACAAAGCCCTAAGGTTAATCTTTAAGATTATCAAATATCACTCAGGAATTCTGCTAATGCATGCTCTTTCTGTGGCCCTTACACATGGTTCTTATCTCCAGATCAGCCAAATAAGTCATATTAACTTTCAGTGCACTTTGCCCATGCAAAACAAATGTGAGTCTTGAAAATATCAACTCCCTTTTATAACAAGAGAACAGAGGAACTGAAATTATAAAAAAAAAAAAAAAAAAGGGCAATGCACAATTTTTAAAAAATGTGTTAGGAAGGACATGGCAGATACAGAACCTCCAGTTGCATGCCTCACTCTACAAGTGTGAACCTTGGCAAGTCTGATTTGTAGAAAGAAATAAGATCTGGTCACCTTGAAAATCTCTCCAGCCTGAGGTTCCTTTGCTAAGGCTGCTTCATCTAGTCCATCATATGCCGAAGTCACATACATCTCTGAATAGTCTTTTCCGCCAAAGCAGCAAGAGGTGATCCTGGAAGCAGGGAGCATCACAGTTTGGATTCTTTTTCCTAGAAAAAAAAAAATGTATATATATATATACACATACACATACACATATACATATACATATATGTGTATATATATGTATATGTATATACATACATATACATACATTTATATATTTTATTTTATTTTAAAATGTTTTTATATATTTTATATTAAATATATATATTATAAGTATAAATAAATATATATTATCTATTTTATATATTTATTTGTATTTTTATATCTAAAAATATTTATGTTTATGTTTATATAAGTTTCCTAGTTTTTATTTTCTAGGAAGCAGGTAAATATTAATTTAGTATTAATGAACATGGCATAGCTATGGCATTTACACAGAGCGTGAAGAAGGCTTTTCTCTTTCACAGGCCATATCCAAAAGGATGGTTTAAGGGGAATTTAAAATCCTGCATCTACTTCATGTCTAATTATTTCTCAGTTCTCTCCTGTATCCATGGGGCTTCATTTMTTTTTCTCAAAATGAAACAATAAAGTCTGTGAAGCCAGGGATGGCAGAGACACATGGGGCTGGCCATGCCCTTTACCTGATCCGGGCCTGGACTGGGCGATCCATGGGGCAGAAATGGGCAATAAAAGAGACCGGCTTATCTCACCTATGAGATTTCCCTCCTGGCTGCCTTCCCTGCACCCTTCTGCTCCATGCCATGAAACCTAAATCCAAGTGATGGATTTTCATACAAATGTCCCTTCTGAGGATGGCATGGCTCATGTGCCCAGCATGATTTAGTAGCGGTGGCTGTTGAGGTTATATCTTCGGGGAGAAGCTTTAAAACTTCTGTGGCCCAGCAGTCAGCAAACCAGGCTTAGCACAAGCAGATTTACAGAGCAGGGCTGGTGGAGGCCTTACCTGTCTCTGGATCTATGCGGATCACTCTGCTGCCGTCAATACAGGCCACCCAGAGCTTCCCTTCTGTGTCGATGCACATCCCGTCCGGCATTCGCTCCTCCTCTTCTAAACGGTACACCAGCTTCGGGCAGGCTGCGGGAAGAATTGCAAGGCCAGTGTTACGTGAACAAGACCAGCCTCTGTACCAGGTCCCGGTCTAACATCCAGCACGCTCTTGAGAGCAGATCATAGATTTGTTTTCTGTGATGAAGACACACTGCAAAACTCGTATTACACATGCATGGAGCAGATACTCTTAAACCAGTGCTTTAGACTGGCAGACACAAGTCCCCAGCGGAATCGCTGCGGCTTAAAGACCATACTGAATTAGGACACATTATTTTATCAAGGAAAGAGAACAAAATGCCTCTGACCCTATTATTAACCTACTAATCACATGCCATGCCATGACTACCGCAAGCACAATAACGTCTTCAAGGCTCATGGCAGTCTGGATGTCTTTTTATGAGCAATAAATCACATAAATAATGAGTCTAATTTAAATGTCAGTAATAAATAATCTCTCACGGGAAATTTATTTTAATGGCCAATAAAGCTATGAGTTTTAATTAGGCCAAGACATCAGCAGTTAGAAGTCTAACTGCAATGCAGAAAGCAGTTCTTTAAAGACGAGTAGGTCCCCATGTGTGCAGTCCATGGAGCTGTGCCCTAGGGTAGCATGATGCCTGCTCGGGCCTGCATGCAATGTTGGCATTGTGCTACTCTAAAATAGGTATTCAGCAGCATAAATCCAAGGCTGGGGAAGCTAAAGCTCACTGTAATTTTTTATTAGGGAGTAAAAAGTTACCTTAAATCTTCTTTATAAAACTTATGCCTTAAAATCTGTAGAAATAGAGAACTGATGAAATGGAAATATAACTGAATAATTGTAATTAATTTGTGTGATTTTCAGCTATGATTACACAAACTTCACAGCAACTATAATCCTAAGGGATTCTAATTCAATTCTAAGTTCAGTCATTTAAGTGCCTTTAAATGGACATGACATTTGTCTTAGCTTAATTTTTGCCTTTAAGATGGATTTATACAACAGCAACAACAGAAATATTTCATGACATTTTGAAATTAAATTACATCAGCTTTCCTTGCACTTCTGTTTTCTTTTTGCAAATACTGTAGATATTTTTTTTCACCCAGAAAGTGAATTTAAGTGAAATCTGCCAAATAGCTGCAAGTGATTTTGAAATATACTTGCATATGCATTCAGTATTTCTACATATGGAGCTAGTAGAGTCCAAGGGTTCCAGTAGATGGCACTCAAGAATAAACAGTACCTGAAAGCTAATTTTGATTCTGCAGCATAAAGGACTTGTTTCCTGCAGCTCTTCAAACAAACAGGTCTAAGTATGATCTACACATTTAGGGGAAAGTGCAAACATCTTTTATTTTCACAATGCAAAATGTTTAAAAATTGTTAACCAAAAACATCTGGGCTTATAACCAAATTTGAGAAAAATCACAGTCAGCCTGCTAGCAAGCTGTAAAGAGAAGAAAATATGAAATCTATCAAATAATTCAATCCCTAGCCCTTATACAACCAGGTCTACTGCAGAAAAAGAAATAATATTGCTTGTTGCAAAGCATTTGTACCGATCTTGCCGGAGTGCACATCATAGCTGAAGGCATGCACGGCATACGTCAGGCTGTCAATGTGGAAGAAGGTCCTGTGGTCCAGAGACCAGTCCAGACCGTTGGAGATGTCCAGCTGGTCCAGCTGTTTCACTACAGAATAGTCTGGGTAAAGAGTGTAGAGAGCCCCTTGCCACCTTGCTCGCACCCCAGGCGCTGTCTCCTCAGCCATCGTACCTGAAACAGGAGTGAACAGAAGTGAGACCATAGGTCAGAAAGGAGCAGCTTGTTCCCATGAGAGAGACTTCCTCGTGCTTGAACAAAATCCTCCCTTAAGCTTTGGTAAGAAGTCCTAGTGCTGACCGCCTGCTTGAAAACGGGAGAAAGACATCTCCATCATGAAGTAATACACTATGATGAGAGAGCTGCTGCAAGGATGGAGAGAATGTAAAAAAGGGCCCTGACAGGTCCTACACACCAAAGGATAACAAAGGCCTGGTGGGAAACAGCAGGAAGCTGGAAGAGGAGAAAATTCTCACCAGCAGTGACAAAGAGCTGAGGTCCTGTCACACTGTTCACACCAAGGCAAAGGGGAACGTCAGGCGCAGCTGTCTTCTGCAGAAACAGCCCTGACCACAAAAGTCCGAGTTTCTGTCTTCCAGTGAGGTTTAAGTTTCAGATGCCAAAGACAACATGCCAAGGATGGAGGCTTTACTCACAGCTCTCCATGAGATAAATTGGAGGTGTTGCCAAAGGTCAAATGCTAAGGATTTTTGTCACTGACACCCACTTTCACAACCCAAATGGGCTGCGACCTTAACATGCAGGTGCTGTAAACCACAGAGTTATCTCAGAACCAGGTAAAGACAACAGAAGTGAGAGCATATCTTTTTTAATTAATTTAAACCTCACAGTTATGTTATTTATTTAGTTTTTGATTCTCTCTGCTGAGAAAATGGCAGGATTGAAGCACAACAGGAGGGTGTTTGCATTTTCTTTTGACTGTGAGAAATTGTTTCTGTTGGCCTCTCTTTTTAGGAGAGCTCATGAATTTGCTTTACAACATCTGGCCCAAACTGAACTTAAGGTTGTTCATCATTAGACACTGCTAGGAACAACGTGAAAAACAGTTTTTCTCTAACTTTTCTCTTCTTCCTCTTTAAGCAGCACACCTAGCATAACCATGAATCAAATGGATTCACCGATTTTGGCAAACTTGATTTGGAGAAAAAGGCTGGCTGGTAGAACAAATAAGAATCTGACTCTGGAGCCACCTTCACTCACATGAGTTGCTCTCTGCTCCCTGTGCAGGTTACTCTGCATAGGTCATAATTTCTAAGGGAGGAAAGGAAGCATGAGGGCATCCTGGCTGCATTGATGGCAAACGTCCCATTTACCTTGGAGAGGCCAAGACTTTCTCCCTAGCACCTCTGCTTCCCACAGCTCAATGAGCAGGGCTGTATGGAAATGAGGCAAGGCATCATCCTTTGCAGCTCCAGCAACCTGCTTATCTGTGTGCTCTCTTCCCTGGCTTTTCATATCCCGTGTGGGTAGACCTTTGAAAAACAAGGTCGGCCCTGTAATAGCAGAGCCCTCTTGACAGACAGCAATGATTGACAGGCACTGCCTTCATTTAGATCAAAGGATTAAGGATTCCTCTTCCTCCTCCCTCAGGTGATCAGAGAGTTGCTTCAGCAGGTATTGCAAAGAGGACTCACAAAACTGCTCACCCTTGCTGTGGTGGCTGTTGTGAGGAGCTCGGCAGAGGAACTAAGAGTCAGGAACAAAACACGGCCTAATTAGTTCCTCTTTCCCCCAGGAGAAATTTCTGACAGCAACTTACCAGCAAAAAACCTCCCCTTTGGATCCACTTTCCCATCGTTGAACCTGTTGTTGGGCTTATCCTGTTCGAGCTCAAGGACAGTGGTGACTGCCTGGGTGTCCCAGTCCAGAAAGGCCAACCTGGTTCCCAGGGCGATGATGTAGCCCCCATTCTGGCGCAGTGCCACCGAGCCCACACGGGCATCTGCAGGAGGAGAGAGCGGGAAATGGCCGGCAGCCCCTGGGCCACCTGGCAGCCCTGCCCTCCCCACCACACTGTGCACATCTGAGCTTCATCAGGGGCTACCCGATACAGGAAACGCTGAGGGGATGCTGGGAGAACAAGGGTAGTGTTTTCCAAGAGTGTCACCACTCCAATATCCCCCTCCATTGAGATGATCAGCACATCTTGCAGGCTGTATGGTCATCTATAAGCGCAGCACCAAAGGGAGCTGCAGAGCTGTAGGATTCATAGCGAGAGAAATAGACCAGGAATGACACAGAAAAGTGGCCCATGGTAAAGCAGTGAACACATTTGCCAGCTCCACCTACCCACGGAGACGCTCTGCACGTCACAGGTGACAGGGCTCCAGCGACAAACCTTCTGCGAATTAATGTCTACGTACACGAGGGCATTTTCCCTTTCTTCCCAGACTGGGCACTCTCCCATCCTGTTTTTCTCCTTCACAACAGATTCAATTTTAATGGAGGAGGACATGGTCTGAAGGGAAGAGAGTGAATAATTAATCTAATTAAACTTCTTATTGTATGGATTTGCATAGCTACAATGCTTTAAAATGGAATTTGTAAACAGCAGAGCTCCCCTTACTCCCCAAACCCACCCAATACAGTAACTTAGGAGACTCCTGTGATTTTTCCATGACTTCTGTTTTTATTTTACTTGAGCACATCTCAGCCCGGAACTGATCTTAAAGATCTGAATTTTCTATTGAGAAAATCATCCTTAGATAGGAAACACACATAAAAGCCTAGGAGAAAACAGTAAAATCCATAGCTCACTTCCTTTTTTTCAAGCACTTTTCCTATGCGGATTTTCTGGTGTTAAGTCAGGACAATATCCCTCCCTTAGCATCAGTGTGTTTTATGAGGTTGCCATGCTTTCAGTTTCTCAAGCCACCTAACAATGCAGTTACACATATATTTACATGTAGAGGTTTTTATTTTTTTGGCATTTGTCCATGTACCTAAGAATAACGCACACATTGTGGCTGCTAGGGTCTTATCTGAGAGATGCAGGATGGCATCTCCAAGAGATGCCTGGGCAGGTCGGCACCAGCGACCACTGCGAGGAAGCGGCCACCTTCCCTGATGGGGAGCAAGGGAAGAGGCTCCACAAGGGGGACTGGGGAGGTGCCGGAGGAAAGGCCTTGCGGGAAGCAAACATGTCACCCTCAGCAGCAGGACGAGCTGCCTCCCGGGGGACCAGGGCCGGACAGACAGGCCATGCTCCTCGGCCAGCCCTGGGAACCAAGTCTGCTCCTGCCTTTTGCTGAGGAATCATCCCAGCCCCAGGGAATGCTGAGGAGGCACCTGCCTCCTTCAGAGCCAGCAAGTCGTGGTGACAGGGCCCGAGGCAGCCGGGGAACGGTCCCCAGGAGAAGGGCCACCTTTCCTGGAGACTGTGAGAAGCCACCATCAAGCAGAAGCTTGATTGGGGTGGGTGGACAGTCTTGTCAYAGAAAAACAAGATCCTGCCTTATTAGCACACGTTTATTAACTCCCCACAGAGGAAGCGCATGCTTGCGTGCGGTCAGCACTGACCGCAGCTCACCGGTACCAAAGAGCCATCAGAGCCACTGCAAAGCTCCCAGTTGTTCCCACATCAAGTCGATGTGAATATGCAAGCCACTGGGGAATATTCCTGCCTTTGAAAGACAGTGCTTTGTTTCCATTCCAAGCTTTTCATGCAAAAAGCAGTGCCTGGCACGGCCATGTGGCCCTGAGGTAGCTGTTTGTCAGAAATCCAGTTTTGGGAGATTGCAGAGTCCCAACTGGAATCAATAACCAACTACCAATCCTCTGGGCTGCTTCGGTCCAAATGAAGACCCAGTCCTACTCTTTTTTTCTTTTTCTTTTTTTTTTTCTCAAACAAATAGCATACGCAAATAACCTACTCCAACACCCAAACTCCCTTTTCTCGGGCACAAAACACTCAGATAACCCAGATGCCCTGGTGGCATTTCAAGGCTGTCTTCCAAAGAACACCTGAGAAACAAACAAATCAATCAATAAATAAAATAAAACACAGCCCTCAACATCTCTCTGGCACATGCAACCACACTGCTTTCTTGGCATTCAGCTGCTGCCTGTCTCGTGGGCACCCAGTCCCATATGGTGGCAGGTGAAGCCCATGAGGGCACAGCTCAGCACCGTGCACCCAACTTGCTGCTTTGCACTGCAGCATGGGGGGCTTGAGCTGAACCCCCACGGTTTGGCTCTCACAAACCAAGAGACCCGGATTCCCTCCCTCTTTCAGCTCAGCTCTGCAGCCTCAGCAGAGGCTAGCTGCAGATGAGTGAGAGATGCCTTGGAAGCCAGCCAGCCTCTGACGTAACGCTAGATATCCCTCCAATTTACTATTTTAATGTGGGCATGGCTGCTGCGGGGGTGAGCCAGGGATAAGGGTTACCTCACAGCCAATTAGCCAGCACTAATCTGCTTCAGCGTAAGTGGGAAGAGTCAATAATAGTCACTGTGTGGGGGAAAAGGCAGCGTTCAGGCACCYGAGTAGCTGTCTCACTTTCTGGATCCCAGGGCATGTGCAACAAGGAGTCAGGCAGTCAAGGAGAGATCCAGGCAACTGCTTCACCAAATATTGCCCCTTAACTGCATTAGATTAGCAAATAAATAGGGTGCTGTCTGCTCYGGTCCATGATTGTCCACGTAGTTATTTTTTTAGTGTGATTGTGGCCTGATGCTCAGAGATCTGATGTTGACTTTATTGCACCGTCATACCACGGCCTGGAAAATACAGAGCGKCTCTCACGTTTCTGAGAAGTTTCAGCACTGAAACTATTGAAATTCTTCTCATTTCAGCAATGAGACTAGCACTAGCTCTGGCTCTGGCAGAGGAAAAAAAGTTGCCCAATCTCCAGGGAGTAATTGTTTCATTGATGGTTTCGCTGAATCAGTTGGTTCTTATTAAACTTTTCTGTTCCCACCAGCTCTCATCTCATTTACTGACCATTCTTCAGCTTCTGCAACAACAGAGCAGAGGCCCTGCAGATAAGCAGCTGCAAACACTGATTCACAGACCCCTCCTGTGCACAGAGCAATGTGCAATCAGGTAATTAACCAGGGTTTCATAATGCACAGGCAGGAGGGAAACCTATGCTGCACCCACTGCCTTTTTACACCTTTCTGGAGCCAGACTGTTTGACTTCACAATAAGAATGTCCTTTTAAAGGACTCCATGGATGGAAATGCCACATTATCCTGGATACTGGTACCACTGCTCACGGGGACACAGGTACCACTGCCCAAGGCAGGTGACCCTGCAGTGTGCCTAAGGCCAGGGCCATGCTGACACATGAGGTTGAGGGCCATGGTGTGGGTATATKGGATCCTGGCATAATACCCGAATCTCAGTAGATCGTGACAGAATTTCATCAAACTGCTCCATGCTGCATCATGCAAAGATGACTCACGCAACCTAATGCCACCTCATGGCCATCGTGAGACCTCCTGCACCCCCTTTTTTTCCCTCCTGCCCTGGTCCAGAGCGACCTCCCTGGGCCAGGCACTGACATTTCTTCAAAGAGCCCTGAACGAATTCAGCTCACTGTCCTGGCAACTTTTTCTCCCCTCTGGGGAGACAAATACTTGCTAATGCCTTTGAGTGACAGGAGAAGGACCTCATTCCCAGCACACCCTTCCTCACACCGAGGCTCATATCCATGGTCTTTGCACCAGCGTAGCTGCTTTGCTAGGGTTAAAGCTCCTTCTTGTCCAAACGCTGCCCATTAGGATTAATGCTCCTTCCTGTATGAAGGCTCCCATTCAGTGCCCAGGACAGCAGCTCCTCCTGCCTYCCATCCCGGTGTTGTCTTTGGTTCCCGGGATAAAAATAATAACAATAATAATAACAATAATATAAATAACAATAACAATAATAATAATCATCATCATTATCATCACCTTGCTTATATCCTCACTATAGAATTATGCTGATGTTTTACCTTCCTGGAACCATGCCTAAGCCCCTCATAGAGAATAAGTGGCTAAGAAGTATCACTGCAATGTTTTCTGAGTGAAACAGCTTAAAGTTGTCAGGGTCTTGAGACTGGGAGAAATATTTCCTGTTGGGAATGAAATCTAAACTTAGCCTTCATAATCTTCAACACAGATTGCTTTTAAAACTCATCTTGACAAAATTGGTAATTTCAGTATTCATAAGATACAGGTTAAACAGAAATTAACTATCATCCTCAGAGCGTTTCTGTACTGTTGCTCTCTCTCTCCCATGCAAGCATTAATTATTTTTAATTTCAAGCTGAAGATTTGAATAAGACAAACAATTGAAGCTTTTAAGGTGCATACCATGAAGAACAGCTATATTTATATCCAGCGGTAGGGCACCAACGCAAAACTCTGCAGTTAATCGCAATAACACACCTGTTAAGAGAAATATTGCAAGACCTTGATTGATGTCTCTGTTCCAACGCTGGTCCAATGAAACTGGCTGCAGTTTTCAGAGATGATTAAAAATGTGCAATAGTTGATGTTATCTGCACTGAGCAGGTAACCTTTTACRTTTTCTATTCAGTCAGCAGTCACATGAAGGATGAGGCATGAACCAAACCCCTTCTGAATGGTCTGTTTTGTAGTGCCAGCAGCAGAACATGTGATACAGAAAAAAAACCTTGCTCAGTATTTCTCTCATGTCATGAGAGTAGGATAGGAGAACCAAGACATTGCACCATCCGTTCRCCCCAAGCGCTAGCCCAAACTTTTCAAATTTGGGAGCAAATGAACATGTAGGGTGATAAAAGCGTTGGGAAGAGGTAAATAAAAGATGAAGTGGAAGGTTGTGCAGGACAAGTCACTCTGAATGATAAGGAAAGATATTCATGCGATTAAGGTGCATCATCATCATCATCATTAAGGCTTGGCTTCTGCTCCGAACTGTGCCACAGCCACCTGCCCGCCTCACCTCTGCTATGCAAAGCTCGCTGCTGCCCGGCGAGAGCTGCGGGGCTGCTCCCAGCTCCAGGAAAGGGCTTTGGCAGGGCACCTGCGGCGAGCACTGCCGATACCTCAGACAGCAAATTAACCATTTTTTTGTTGGCTTTTAATGCTTCTTCTCCATCTCTGGTGTTTGGTTTTCTTTTTGTACAAGGCAAGTGAAGACTGAAGATGCCGCGTGCCTCCCTCACCCAGGTAGGTGGTGGGGGTCCCCAGCTGCCAGCCCCACACTGGGCTCCACAGGGGACCATATGAGGAGGGGTGAGCTATAGCTTGCCACAGGGGCAGAGACCAAGCAGGGCAGTGACCCAGGGCCCCTGGCAGCTTTCCTGCAAAAGGGAACCTCTCTAGTTGCTCCTGCTGCAGCACACAGGGCAYGGGGAGACCTCTGTGCAGACGGGAGGCAGAGTCACCCCACTAAAATCATCAGGCACAGAAGTCACCTGTCAGGAAACRGCCCCAAAGCAGCATGCAAGAGAAATGCATTTCTTTACAAGTGTGAACATTTAAATG